GTAGTAAAGTTTATTTGCATTAATCCAGTAATTTACATTTTTTCCCTTTCTTTACAACAATAATGCAGAATAATGCAAAAAGGAGCTGGAAGGCAATTTAGAATTGTTCGAGTCCAACCCCTTTTATTTTCTTACATGCTAACTGCCTAAACTAAAATACGGCCTAATTAACATATTGAATTCTAATATATATTAACAAAATGAGCATAAATTACACTAAAAAAAAAAATATTTACAATATCTAAAACCAAAAAAACAAAACAAAACTCTACTGCAAATATTTTGCTATCTGCCTCCCCTCCATGACCAGATCCACTACAAAGTACACAAATACAGTTTAATTTTCTTTACAAAATTAGGAACCTCGAGGTCCTTGAGATAATCGGGAATACCGTTGTACAGGCTATAGACATTATAAGTAAAGCTTCTCTCGAACATGCTCGTAGTGTGCTGCGGTGGCGTTATCAACCCCCTGAACCTTAAATTGAGACTATGGACATCTGTTCTAAATTTTATTCTGTCCGCTAGATAAGGCGGTGTTTGTGACTTTATTATTTTGTGGAAGAAAACCAACGAATGAAATTGTCTACGCTTTTTCATATCTAGCCAATTGGTTTCCTTCAGTTTGTATGTTATGGGTTGGAACTTTTTTATGCCATGAATAAATCTGAGACAAGACTTCTGAACTTTCTGTACCCTATTTTGGTCGTTCTGATCAAGACATGACCCATATACTACATCACAAAAGTTGAAATGACTCAGAACTAGGGTATCTGTAAGTAGAGTTTTTTGTTTTATGGAGAGCGTGTGCCTATGGGGATATAAAAGCTTTAATGACATGTATGCTTTTCGTATATTTAAATTTATATGTTCTCTAAACCTCAAGTCTGTGTCCAGTAGTAAGCCTAGATCTCGGGCACAGTCCGAGACCGGTAGGGGGTTGTTTTGGATAGATATATTCATCTCCCTCTTCATCTCAGCTTTATTTCTTCGGAAAAATAGCACCACTGACTTCAGAGAGTTTATTTTTAGATTGTGCCTTTCAGAATACTCTACCAGGTTAGTAAGATCTTTCTCAATTATATTTTTGGCTGCAATGCGGTCTTTGGGGAAAAAAGAGTAGCGCAGTTGTGTGTCGTCTGCATACTGGTCCGCATTGCATTTTAACAAGCATTTTGTTAGGTTACAGGTGTAAACTGAGAAAAGAATCGGCGATAAAATCCCACCCTGAGGAACACCCCTATTTATTTGGTTTTGATTTGAAAAGCCTGCTGTCGTCTCTGTATATTGGCTTCTCTCGCTGAGGTAGCTTTTAATTGCCGCAATTGCCTCCGTAGAGAAGCCTACAAACTGCAGTATAGCAAACAACAGATCGTGGCTAATGGTGTCGAATGCTTTCGAGTAATCAAGAAGAACCAGGGCCGTGGCCTTCCCAGCATCATTTTCCAAAAATATGTCATCCGTAATATTTGCCAAAGTTGTTGTGCAGCTAAAACCAGGCCTGAATCCAGATTGGTGTTCAGGCAAAATTTTGTATTCACCCAAATGCTCTCTTATCTGTGAATCAAAAATCTTTTCTAAAATTTTCGATAGACAAGGAAGTATGCTTACAGGACGTAACTACTTTCCACTTTGCAGGGAATTTGTTTTCAATAATACTTGTGTTGACTATATTTGTTAGAAATGGTAATATTAACGGACAACACATAATCAACATTTGATAGTTAATTTTATCCGATCCAACAGCAAGAGTTTTTATATTAAATAAATGTTCTCTAACTTCACCCATGGTCACTGTTTTAAATGTAAAAAGCTCGTTAAAATCGGTCTTTTTGTTTTGCTGATAATAAGACAATAGTTCCTGGTCGACCGGAACTAACGTCCCAGTGAACGTGAGAAAAAAATTGTTTATTTCTTGTGGGTTATTGATACTATCTGGCAGAGAAGTCTTATTTTTAGAGTTTTCTACAATATTTAGGCGTTCTAAAAATTTCCAAAGCAAAGCCCTATCGTTCGACCTACTACAGTATTCCAAATAGCTCTTTTTTTTATTGGAGATTGCGATATTTGTAGTATTACGGAACTGCTTATAATAATCCCAATGTGCTGGATTTTTTGATTTTTTAAAACGCCTATAGGCCTGTTCCTTTAATTTAATTAACTTTGTTACATTATCAGTTATCCACGGAGGCTTATGTTTCTTAATTAAAACGGTTTTTAAGGGGGCTAAGAAATCAAAAATCTTCAAGATATGCTGATTCAATATGTCAACTTTATCATCTAGGTTTCTGGTGTACAAGATTTGATCAAATGATGCATCTATGAGCATGTTATTGAATACTTCTAGGTTTATGCGCTTGAGGTTTCTAAATGTCGCATAGTATGGTGTCTCTTTCACATTTTCACTCAACATACATGATATCAGACAGTGATCTGACAGATTTTCAATTTTCTTTACGACTGATTTTATGTCGTTTAGTGCCCTGGGAACCATTATCCAGTCAACCAGCGTCGATGTTGTTTTTGAAATTCTAGTTGGTGAATCGATTATCTGTTTAAGGTTGTAGGTCTCCAGGAGTGATATGATTTTCTGAGTGTTACTTTTAACTATATCCAAGTAATCTACGTTGACATCGCCGCCACAGATCAACCGATCACAAATTATTGAGAATTGTGAGAGAGAATCCTCAAATGAGTCCAAGAATGTTGCAAACCTTCCCCCCCTATGCAGCCTGTATAGAGAACCAATACAGTATGTGCATTTATTAAGTTTCAATTTTATCCAGATTTGTTCAATACTTTGGTTTGATGGATACTCTAAAATCTCAAAATTTATCCAATTTTTAATATAAACCCCTATTCCCCTACCCAAAAATTTATTGTTTTCCTTCAAAACTCTGTCTTTTCTCAGCAATCTGTAGCCGTCGATTATCAGTTTACTACTGTCAATGTTAATTGTCAATAGAGTTTCAGACATGCCCAGCATATCATATTTATTCTGGTCTAAAAGGCACTTTATGTCCGCAAAATGTGCTGTAAGCGAGCTTACGTTAAAAAATGCAACTGAAAATTTTTTCATTTTGATTTTCGAAAATTTCTATATTATTGGATTAGAAAACTTTAAATATATTTACCAAAATCTGTATTTATGCGTTTGCAAAACAAGATCATTCGAAAAGGAAATGAAACAGATTTTACCTATGTGCGCTGAATTATATGTATATAAAAATAAATATAGTTTAAAAAAACTAAAAAACACGCTTTTATAGTAAATTGAACTAAAAAGTGAAAAATAATTTTCAATATAAACCGAAAATATTAATGAACAAAAAATATTAGAATTATTGTGAAAAAAACGTGGGGTGCTTTGTTCCACATTTCTCGTACATTGAGCACCACACGCTTTTTTCACAATAATTCTAATATTTTTTGTTCATTAATATTTTCTGTTTATATTAAAAATTATTTTTCACTTTTTAGTTCAATTTACTATAAAAGCGTGTTTTTTAGTTTTTTTAAACTATATTTATTTTTCACTTTTTAGTTCGATTTATTATTTTGTTTTTTTTTTTTTGAAAAAAAAACTTTAATTCTTATTTGTGTTTTGTTTATATTTGCAGCATTTATCTTTATCAACGGCTAGTGCGTCGCACCGCACCGGTATGATACTCACACTGAGTGTGTCATTCCTGAATTCGCCCCAGAGATTTCCAGACTTTTGCAGACAATATCCAGACTTATTCAGAGCTTTCCAGAGTCTTCCAGACTTCATCCAGATTTATCCAGACTTGTACAGACTGATCCGGATTCTGGAAAATGATCCCTAAGTCTTTTGGGACCTTTTCCAGAATTTATCCGACCCTTTCAAGAAGTTTCCAGGCCTTTTCCAGATGTTTCAAGAGATTTCCAGACTCTTCCAGACAATATCCAGACTTATCCAGAGTTTTACAGACTTCATCCAGATTTATCCAGCCCTTATCCAGACTTGTACAGACTGCTCCAAATTCTAGAAAATGATCCCCAGATCTTTTGGGACCTTTTCCAGAATTTTTCCGACCCTTTCAAGAAGTTTCCAGTCCTTTTCCATGTTTCCAGAGTTTTCCAGACTTCATCCAGATTTATCCAGACTTTATCCAGACTTTTTCAGACTGATCCGGATTCTAGAAAATGATCCCCAGGTCTATTGGAACCTTTTCCAGAATTTTTCCGACCCTTTCCAGAAATTTCCAAGTCTTTTCCAGACGTTTCCAGAGATTTCGAGACTTTTACAGACAATATGCAGATTTATTCAGACCTTATCCAGACTTGTACAGGCTGATCCGGATTCTGGAAAAAGATCCCCAGGTCTTTTGGGACCTTTGGGAGAATTTTTCCGACCCTTTCCAGAAATTTCCAGGCTCTTTCCAGACGTTTGCAGAGATTTCCAGACTTTTCCAGGCTTTATCCAGATTTATCCAGACTTGTTCCAGCTCACTTGGCTTGTTCCTGGTTCTTGTTCATACACTTCCCAAGGGTCCAAAAGTTCGCACGCATCCCTATGTGCCCGTGCGATAAACATTTTCAATGTTACTTACAAACATACATACATACAAACATACATACATACATACATAAAGTTTGTTTCGCCAGGGTTTGTACTTGCCACCAGCATTTACCTTCCTTGTTTAACAAATAAAAATTGACTGAAACAAATCAATGATGTCAAAAACGTTCGTCGGTTCTTAAACCAGAAGTCATTCATTTCAATTTGTCAAAAAAATTGAATGTGTCATATAAATTAATCTACGACAACCCTTTTTTTTTCAAGTTTCAATGTCAAGTATGAACCCTGGTGAAACGAACCTTACATACATACATACAGGTGAAGTTAATATAAGCGTGTTAAAAAACACAAAAACATAATTATATTCCTAGACGTACACAAAAATATTATAAAAAAGGTTAAGGTACAACACCGAAAACCAGACAAACAAAAGTACTTTATGTGTACATACAAAAATTTATTGTTCGGATTTTTGACCCTGGCGTGTTGAATATTTAAATTTTTGCCCAGAGATGCCGTTAGCGGAATTAGGAGTAGCGGGACTTGAGATAGAATTAGATTTTGTTTTCTTAGAAGTTTCTTGCAGATTTATTTGGGGTTTTTCTTTTGCGCGGTTTTCTTTGTTCCTCCTTAATACTTTTCGCTCTTTGTTGTTTTCCTCCTTCTTTTCTTCTGTCTCATTCCTTTGGATTATGTCTTGTACAGGAGGTTCTTCGTACTCAAACAAAACTTCTTTGGGGGAAGGAGTTGAGGGAGCACTGGCAGACCCTGACACTATTGGCGAAGATTCAGATAGTAGTTGTATTGGGAGTTTTTTGCGTTCGGTAATTTCCTCAAAAGTGTAAATAGTTCCCTCTACTTCAATTCGGTTATGATTCTTCAATCTTTTGTTGCAGTTGTTTAATTTTTCGTCCTTAAGAACCTCCAGTAAGGCCTTGCGCTGATAAAGCTCTTCTTTAGTTAGATCCTCGTTTATATATATTTTGGTGTTTTTAAGCTTCGGTTTTGCAACAAGAATGTCTCTCCTCTTAAATCCAGACAATAGTTCCAATAGAATCGGCCGAGGATTTTCTGTGGGTTTTCCCAATCTAAAGCAGTTACTTATATCTGCCAATATAAGTGATATGCCCAAATTTTTGTTTACTATATCCAGAACTGCCCTTTCGGGAGGTGCAAATTTTTCATCTATTCCTTGAAATATCAAATTTTTTCTTTTCATTTGTCGCTCCACGATTCCTAGTCTTTCCTTCAGTTCTTCGTTTTCTTGCTTTAATTTTTCAATATCTTTCTTAACCACCGATAAGTTGCTGTTATATTGTTTGATATCGTTCTTCACTCCTTGTATTTCGCCCAAAAGATTGCTCTGTACAGCCAAAATTACATCTCGAAGATTGTTCATAGAGATTTCGCCATTTTCTTCCATGGTGTTTCCTTTTTGATACAAAATAGTAACGTCGGCAACGCTGCAATCTGAAGCCGTACTGCTGTTGTAGTACTCGAGTACATAGGTACGATTCAAAATAAACTTGATCGTATTGACCTCTAAATATGCATTCTTCATAAATTATTGTAATTATCAATTGAACCGAACAGTTTTTGGGGATTTTGAGCACTAACCCCACTAGGGCAGCCTTGTGGAGATGCTTTGGAAGTATTTTGAGGTTTAAAAACACACTTTATTACTGTTAAAACACTTAATTTTCCTGGAGCACTTTTGAAGCGTTGCACGCAGTGTTGTCTCGTCAAGTTGTGCTTTTTAGGTGCTAATTAGGGCCTCTAATTAAAAATTAGGTGCCCCTCTAGTTTTTGAGAAAATCAAAAAAAACTAAGGGACTGTTAGGTTTATGAAAGCTAGCAGTCCCCTATAGTAATTTTTTTTTTGTATCAGAATTAGGTGCTATTTAAGTGCTCCTAAATAGTCGAAGAAAAACTTGAATCAGTTAATTATTAACTGAATTACAGATTTTTTACATTATTAGGAAATTGTTGGCTTCACTTTTACTTGGTGATGTGTCAGAATAGAAAAAAAATTCGGAGTCTATATAATAATATTAATAATAATTAGGTACTTTTTAGGTGCTAATTAGGGCTACTAATTAAAAATTAGGTGCTCCTTTAGTTTTTGAGATAATCAATAAAAAGAACAAAGGGACTGCCAGGTTAATAGAAACTAGCAGTCCCCTATTGTAAAAAATATTTTTTCAAAATTTCCTTTTATATCAGAATTAGGTGCTTTCTAGGTGTTTCTAAATATCCGAATAAAAAATTGAATCGGTTAATTATTAACTGAGTTAGAGATTTTTTTTATTATTAGGGGACTACTAACTTTCATAAACCTAGCAATTCCTTAGTTTTTTTTTGATTCGGGATCTATTACCTAAAAAGCACCTAATTATTATATAAATCCCGAAGTTTTTTTCCATTCTGACACACCAACATGTGAACGTAAAGCCAGCAGTCCCCTAATAATTAAAAAAATATCTGTAACTCAGTTAATAATTAGTAAATTCTATTTTTTCTTGGACTATTCAGGAGCACCTAAAAAGCACCTAATTCTGATACAAAAAAAATTTTTGAAAAAATATGTTTTACTATAGGGGACTACTAGCTTTCATAAACCTAGGAGTCCCTTATTTTTTTTTGATTTTCTCAAAAACTAGAGGAGCACCTAATTTTTAATTAGATGCCCTAATTAGCACTTAAATGCACCTAATTATTATATAGATCCCGAATTTTTTTTGTCATTACAAGTAGACGTAAAGCCAGCAGTCCCCAAATAATTAAAAAAATATCTGTACCTCAGTTAATAATTAATCGATTCTATTTTTTCTTGGACTATTTAGGAGCACCTAAAAAGCACCTAATTCTGATACAAAAGAAAATTTTGGAAAAATATTTTTTACTATAGGGGACTACTAGCTTTCATAAACATAACAATCCCTTAGTTTTTTTTGATTTTCTCAAAAACTAGAGGAGCACCTAATTTTTAATTAGAGGCCCTAATTAGCACCTGAAAAGCACCTAATTATTATATAGATCCCAAAGTTTTTCTTTTTTCATTTTGACACACCAACATGTAAACGTAAAGCCAGCAGTCCCCTAATAATTAAAAAAAAATCTGTAACTCAGTTAATAATTAATCAATTCTATTTTTTCTTCGACTATTTAGGAGCACCTAAAAAGCACCTAATTCTGATACAAAAGAAAATTTTGAAAAAATATGTTTTACTATAGGGGACTTCTAGCTTTCATAAACCTAGCAGTCCCTTAGTTTTTTTGGATTTTCTCAAAAACTAGATGAGCACCTAATTTTTAATTAGAGGCCCTAATAGACCTATCTCCCATGATTAGAAAAAGGAAGCTTCATTGTAATAAATACAAGTTAGAAAACAATAAAAGATGACATGCGCGCGCAACTCGTAGGCTGCAGTGTAGAACAAATGTAGACAATAAAAATCGAACATTATAACATTAAAGAAGTAATATAGTCTCAAGTGTTTCACAACGCCTTAAAATAGACAAAAGAAGAGCTTTAAAGTGGATGAACATCGTTTGCAATTTTATTTTGATAAATGTTTCATCCGGCAACATCGCTCAATAAAATTGCAAAGGAATATGTCAAGTATAATCTAACATAACCTTAAACGAAACTGCGGTGAGTTCAAGTAATATGGTAAAGTATTAGTTTGTTCTTTGTCAAATTACACATTACAAAGAAAGAAGGAACGATTCATTCTGAACTGGCCCCTGAATAAGAATATGACGCAAGCCTGTCATACACTTGCTACTCATTGGACGCTCATCTGCAGCCTACAAGCGACGCACGCAGTCCAGGTGATAGGAGATCGGTCTATTTAGTACCTAAAAAGCACCTAATTGTTATATAGATCCTGAAGTTTTTTTGCCATTCTGACACACCAACAAGTAAACATAAAGCCAGCAGTCTCCTTAGAATTAAAAAAAAAATCTGTTACTTAGTTAATAATTGATCAACCCTATTTTTTCTTGGACTATTTAGGAGCACCTAAAAAGCACCTAATTCTGATACAAAAGAAAATTTTGAAAAAATATGTTTTACTATAGGGGACTTCTAGCTTTCATAAACCTAACAATCCCTTAGTTTTTTTTGATTTTCTCAAAAACTAGAAGAGCACCTAATTTTTAATTAGAGGCCCTAATTAGCACCTAAAAAGCACCTAATTATTATATAGATCCCGAAGTTTTTTTGCCATTCTGACACACCAACAAGTAGACGTAAAACCAGCAGTCCCCTACTTAATAATTAAAAAAATATCTGTAACTCAGTTAATAATTAATCAATTCTATTTTTTCTTGGACTATTTAGGAGCACCTAAAAAGCACCTAATTCTGATACAAAAGAAAATTTTGAAAAAATATGTTTTACTATAGGGGACTTCTAGCTTTCATAAACCTAACAATCCCTTAGTTTTTTTTGATTTTCTCAAAAACTAGAGGAGCACCTAATTTTTAATTAGAGGCTCTAATTAGCACCTAAAAAGCACCTAATTATTATATAGTTCCCGAAGTTTCTCTCCACCTTGGGACTGCTAGGTTTATAGACCTGGTTTCTAAAAATTCAGCCAAAACTGTATAACTTTTGTATTTACACCTTTCTTCTACCTGTGAAGATAAAGGCTGTAGGTGGGGTGTCAATATACAAAAAAACAACCTGTACCTACTTATTAAAAATCACCTTATTCTCTTAAATAGTTCTGAGGTTCCCCCATTCCCATTTTTTTATGGGCCATTCCTTCGAGAAACCGTATCTTGCACAATGCGCTGCCAAAACTAAACCAAACTAACCTAATCTGGCTTACTTTAACTTAAACTGCTCCCCTTTCAAAAGGCCTGTATCCGCCCCTGCATCAGGTTATCCCTTCACATTCCCATATGTGCTGATAAATTGATAATCTCCCATTTCTAACTGTTTTTGATTAATTGGCTGAGTATGGTATTCTCTTGGAGGTAAATGCCGCAGAACATACCACTTTGTAGTGCACGAACATACATATTCGTCATCACTGTCCGAAAATGCGAGATAAAATTGCTTCATTGTGCACGTACCCAGGTGTGCACAACTCATCTGTGATACTAATTAACTAACTGTGATACTAATCCAATAATATAATTCCAACCATCGATTATAGCTCCCATTCATCATCCAGGCTATAAGTGCGTATTACAACTCTGTTGTGCACATACCCTAAGGGCCAGTTTCAAAAACAGTGATAACCACAAGACAATGGTAACCTACAATATATCTGTTTCCTAATGTGTGGTTTAGCTAAAACCTTTTTTGCTCATTATGGCTTATTGTACATCATTCGCATGTTCTCTACTCCTTTCCATTCATACTGGAGTCTAAAATGGTTAGCCTTATCATGCATCCCCCACCCTAAGTTGGTCCGATTCGCAATCCATAATTGGCCATTGAAACTCCATCGATATCACGTAGGCCTGAGAAAATCTTTCCACATCCTCTCGCCAAGCCAACGAGCCAGTTAACCAAACAAACAATCATGCCCTAGCCGGGATTCGAACCCGGGACCCGTACCGTGCGAAGCAGATACACTAACCCCTATACACTGCCTAGGTCGGCAGCAAAATCGTTGGTCAAGTTTCAGATTATTCAATGTGGTCAACCCGCAACTATGAATTTGATAACCAGTGCAGGTTACCACCAGTTGTAAAACTGGGCCTTAGTGGTATTATAATATTTGGTGTCTTATTCTATCTGTGACAAAATACGTATAAATATTGACTTTATCCTGATGGAAATTTAATACCTAAAATATTATTCCATCCGCCAGTCAGGACATTAATAAACACAAAATTGGATTCGTCGGGCGTCAACTTAAAACGATCGACGTGGAAATTGAAAAATAAAAGATTATGCATAATATTTTCTCTAAGGAAAACTGGATTTATAGGAGTTCGGAGTGGTAATTGAAAAATCGAAGACGGATCCTTTTCCTCGAATTTCTCATTTCGAAGAAAAAATGAAACAAAAAAAAATATATAAGGATTCGGAAGGACGATTGATTTATTAGTGCAGCATTTGGCGAAAAGTCAGTCCACTGTTCGTGACAAGGGCAGATTTAAAGTTTTTGAAGATCTTTATCGTTTTTGGTAAAGAATATCAACACCCTTTATAGTTGCAACTTGACTCTAATGAACTTCCACTTTGGTTATCCTTTGTAGTAAATTTTCCCACTCCCGCCTATCAAACCACTTGAACTTATTCAAGCTTCACTTTAGATTTTCTTAAGACTAAGTTTAGCAAAGTTCGGAGTTCCCTTGCCTCAACATGTTTTGTGTCGAAATTTGCACAAAGTACTTTGAACACAAGGAATTATTTATCCTACTTTCTTCGCAACCATAAATAAATAATGCAAATACTAATGCAATGAAATTATTCGAATTTATATAGAGCCTCACTCATTTTGCTGCCTAATTCATTTATGATGTTTGCTTTGCCACAGAGACTTTGGGAAATAAATTTCTGGACTAATGAAGTTCAGTCTTTTTGTTGAAATATCT